CCGGTTCTGTCCGGTTCTTTAGAACCGGTAGTAAAAGTGGTGGGAGGCTCCGTCCATCTGCCCGGATGTCATAATTGACGATCTGCGCATGGGCAGAAGTGGGCAGAAGCTCCTCTGTTATGAACTGATGGTAAAGGTAAGTAGAACCCACCCCTGGATGGAAGGCTGAGTCAACTTTGAGCCGGTGAGAATCGAACTGCTGGCAGGCAGGAGAATTAGCCTGCAATACTGCATTCTAACCACTGCACTACAACAATGCAATATAAGCAATCCTTGATTTACAACAGTTCATTTAGTGCAGTGTTTCTCAACCTTGGAAGCTTGAAGATGGGTGGACTTCAACTCCCAGAATCCCCCAGCCAGCGCTTCTCAACCTTGGTAGCTTGAAGATGGGTGGACTTCAACTCCCAGAATCCCCCAGCCAGCAGCGCTGGCTGGGGGATTCTGGGAGTTGAAGTCCACCCATCTTCTAGCTACCAAGGTTGAGAAACACTGATTTAGTGACTGTTCAAAGTTCCAAGGGCACTGAAAAAAGTTACTTATGACCGTTTTTCACACTTATGACCGTTGCAGCATCCCTGTGGTTACGTGATCAAAATTCGGCCACTTGGCAACTGATTTATATTTATGATGGTTGCAATGTCCTCGTGGTCATGTGTTACCTTTGGCGACCTTCTGACGAACAAAATCAACAGGGAAATCCAGTACTAATTTAATAACTGCAGTTCAATTTTTTCTGAAGATCTTCCTTTTCCCAAACAGTTTGTAAAACAATTTTGTTTTTATTAGTTTGGATGAAGCATGCTTTAAAAGTGTTTGAACTTATCGGGAGTAGATTAGAACCGTAACTATGACAGAAGGGGGAAATGACTAAATGCAACCCAGACAAGTTAATGTACAGAGTAAGGGTTGAATGTAATTTAAATGATTTCAAATTCAGCATTACCCTGGCCCCATCATCTCTTTGGAATCATTCCTTGAAGGCCAAGTTGGGGCTTTTACCACAAACAATGTTGTGTACTCTGCCCTTAGCAACAGTTGCTGAGAGGCAATTCCCCATTTTGGAAATATCTAAGAGGATTTCGTGCTGTTTCTGGTGGCCAGGTGAAAATTTCATTTGTCTAAATTGGGCTTTCTCAACATGACCAGAGGTGGGTTTTAGCAGGTTCTGACCAGTTCTGGAGAACCGGTAGCGGAAATTTTGAGTAGTTCGCAGAACCGGTAGAAAAAATTCTGGCTGGCTCCGCCCCCATCTATTCTCTGCCTCCCAAGTCCCAGCTGATCGGGAGGAAATGGGGATTTTGCAGTAACCTTCCCCTGGATTGGGGAGGGAATGGAGATTTTACAGTATCCTTCACCTGCCACGCCCACCAAGCCACAGAAGCGGTAGTAACAATTTTTTTGAAACCTACCACTGAACATGACCCTCTGTGTGAGAAGATGGAGGAGTGTGTACCGATGGCCACTGTTCCACTGTGTGAGTATGGTGGGGCGGGCTGCGGTTCGGTGAAGAAGATGTGCTGCCATAGCACTACACAAACCCAGAGGAGCCGGAGATGGCTGCTACCAGGTGGAGAAGGGTGCAGAGATGACCCCCGTGGGTGGAACCGGTGCTGCAGGCATGTGTGCATACTTGCTATTGAGTATGAAATTTCTGAGATCTCATCCTATGTGGCCAGACTCCTCTGGAGAATAAGTCTAAGTGATTCCTGGAGTGATTGATGCTCAACCTTCCCTGACAGTTTCTCCATTGACTTTGCTTTTGTGAAGCCAAGAGAGAAGTTTGCAAATGGCGGTCATGCATATACAACTATCAGAAGTGCAAACATTGGATTGCAATTATGTGACAGGATTTCGGCAGAGGTGGGATTCAACCGGTTTGCACCACTTTGGCTGAACCAGTTGTTAAATTGCTGGCTGGCCCCACCCCGCCCCTTCCGGAAGTCCCCACACACCCCATTTTGGCTCCAATATAAGTGCAGGGAGGCCTAGTAGGCCCAAAATGGGGGGTGGGGGTGGGACTGCGCCTCCCCCCCCAGTGGCCTGCTTTTGTTCCCAGGGCGCTGCAGGGAGGCCTTGTTGTGGTCCACCAGCAGCCTGCGGAGCTGGCAGCAGAGTCGGACAGTGAGGAGGCTGGGGAGGACCATGGGCCAGTCCTGGAGTATGGGAAAGGCTCAGATGAGGACTCTGCTTTGAAGGCAGAGAAAGGGCTATCTGGGAGGGATGTGCTGCCTCTGGAGCCTCCAGAGTCGGACCTCAGCAAGGCAGAGAAACAGGGGGAGCCTGTTCCCAGTGCGCACATGGGCAGAGCTGCCAGAAGGCAAGAACCGTTAAAGAACCGTTAAAACAAAAGGGACGAAAGATTTATATGATCTGAATTGGTATCTCGCTCTCCACATCATCATTGCAGCCAGGATTTCGTTCGCACAAGAATGGAAATCCAAAAACATCCCATCGGAGGCTACGCTAATTGCAAAGATCATGGACTGTGCAGAAGCAGACAAGCTTACTGGACTTTTGCGAGATAGACAAGAATCGGGGTTATATAGGAGCTGGAACAGATGGTATGCTTGGCTGCAAAAAAAGAAATCTTAAGAAGAACGAAAATATTAACCTTAATGTGAACGTGGGTAAATACTTCCAGGAGTACTGCATGACGATTGAGAATTTTTTTTTTCTGGTTAAACCTTCCTTTCTTTTGATGAGTTAGCTTAATGGAAGTTTGTACTTTCTCCAGGCGAAAATTGATACTTTAAAACTCTATATGTATTATATTACTCTCTGCAATTCTATCCATATTATTATATTTTTTTCTGTATTTTTTAATAATTTTCAATAAAAAATTAAAAAAAAAAAGGGACGACTCGGGAGTGGGGCTTGGAGATGATTGGCCCCTCCCATAAGACTTAAAAGAGGAGCAAAGGCACCTGGCCTTTGCAGGAAGCAACATTTGTTCATTCAGTTCAGCTTACAGCCTGAAGCTCTGTTTGATTCTGGACTCCATGTGGCTTTGTCAATTAGGTCTTTGGCAGCATGTCAAGGGAGATAAAGGTGAGTGATTATCAGCCTTATCCCGAAGGACTCTTGACAACTATTTGGGACTCATCTGTGAATGAACAGAATTCACAGCTGTTAAAATAAAAGAGGTTTTTGGGACTACTCGTGTGCTTTACTGACTCAGGAGGCCTAGGTCAGAACAGGCCTACTAGGCCCAAAATGGGACACCGGGGTGGGGGGGTGGGGGGTGTACCACCACCACCCCCTGCGGTCCATTTTTTTCTCCCAGGGAGGTGCAGGAGGCTGCGTGGGCATTAACATACTGCAATTCTAACTGTATTGTTGGTGATGATCATTTAAGCAATTGCTTTTCCTTGTAAGCTTCTCCAGGAATTTGTTGGGTTGAAGGAAAGGAGATAAATGAATCACGAATGATAGGATGTAGCCATTTTCCTACTTTCGACTGACCGAAATGACCCTACTGAAGAGAGGAAAGACTTAGTCACCAAGCCTGAAGACCGTTCCCTCAGGACAGGCAGTTGTGATTCAACTGACAGAGCAAATAACCAGATTTATTCTGAGTGAGCAGTTAAGCAGGCGATCCTACTCCATGTAAAGCAGCAACCAGCTCACCCAAAGGTAGAGATATAACCAGGGTGGAGACTAGAGATCCCAAGGAAGCCAGAACATTGGTGTAGACACGTGATTGTTTCTCCCCCACGTGTAAAACAAAACACGCCTGGCCATCTGGAATCACTTCCACACCAATGATTTGTAAATATATTATACATAAAAACCCGGGATGGCCTTAAGAAATCCACTGTGATGCGGTTTTTAAGAATTCCATTCCATAAACCTTCCTTCTTTCTTTTCCCCTTTCATTTTAATTGCATTATTTTTCACTAACGAAGTATTTGAAACTTGGACAATGAAATCTTGCAAAGAGAGGAGACTAGAGGGGGAAAAAAAATCCTTCATGGAAACTTGAAGAGCAAGCATGGAAAGCAGAGACTTGGTACCTTCAGACCTCCCTCCATCTTTGGTCAGGACAAATTGTTCAAATTATATTGCTCAAGAGAATATGCTTTACAGCTGTCCGAAGGCCTCTTTTTGTCAAAAACGATGAAGGAAATTAAGAGTTGAAGCCCTTCAGACGTTGACAACAAAACACACAGAAACTACCAGAATTTTTCCAATTCCCGTTTGGAAAGGGCTGGATCCAAATAGATCTGCATATGCATTGTATTCTTGAAGTTTAAGAATGTAACCATCCAGAGGTGGGTTTCAAAGGTTCTGACCAGTTCTGGAGAACCGGTAGCGGAAATTTTGAGTAGTTTGGAGAACCGGTAGTAAAAATTCTGACTGGCCCCGCTCCCTTCTATTCTCTGCCTCCCGAGTCCCAGCTGATTGGGAGGAAATGGGGATTTTGCAATATCCTTCCCTTGGAGTGGGGACGGAATGGAGATTTTACAGTATCCTTCCCCTGGAGTGGGGAGGGAATGAAGATTTTACAGTATCCTTCCCCTGGAGTGGGGTGGGAATGGAGATTTTACAGTATCCTTCTCCTGGCATGGGGAGGAAATGGAGATTTTACAGTAATCTTCCCCTGAAGTGGGGTGGGAATGGAGATTTTACAGTATCCTTCCCCTGGAGTTGGGAGGAAATGGAGATTTTACAGTATCCTTCCCCTGGAATGGGGAGGAAATGGGATTTTGCAGTATCCTTCCCCTGGAGTGGGGAGGAAATGGAGATTTTACAGTATCCTTCCCCTGGAGTGGGGAGGAAATGGAGATTTTAGAGTATCCTTCCCCTGGAGTTGGGAGGGAATGGAGATTTTACAGTATCCTTCCCCTGGAGTGGGGTGGGAATGGAGATTTTGCAGTATCCTTCCTTTGCCATGTCCACCAAGCCACACCACAGGCACCATGCCACGCCCAGAGAACCGGTAGTAAAAAATTTTGAATCCCACCCCTGTAACCATCCCTTAGAAAACTGCCTCTTACTTGTAGGCTCTGACGTTGTATTTCTTCTCTGCCGGAAAGCCGAACATGCCGCAGACAACACGGGAATTTTTGTTGGTCCAGTTTTTGTCGCAGATCTGTTTCCAAGTACCCCCTTCTTTGACCTCCACGTAACCCTCCGTTACAGGGATGCGTTTGCGAGACGCTGAAAAGACGGCCCGTATTCGGACATCTTCTACTTTGATGTTTGTGTTCTAAGGAATGTAAGGAAGATAAGAGTTTCTGTTTTAGGCACAGGTCGCTGGAATATATAAAGGCCGGGGGGGGGGGGGAATCCTTTAAACCAGGGGTGTCAAACTCAAGGCCCGGGGGCCAAATCCGGCCTGTGGGGTGCTTAGCTCTGGCCCACAGTGCCTCTGCCAGCGAAAACGGAGTTCGGGAGGGCCACATGAGGCCCTCAGAGGCTCCATTTTCGACCGTGATAGCCTCCTGCAGCCCTCTGCCAGTGAAAACGGAGCTCGGGGGGCTGCACGGGCTCCGTTTTTGCTGGCAGAGGGCTTCAGGAGACCCTCATGGCTGAAAATGGAGCCCGGGTGGGCCGTCCATGGCCTCCCTGAGCTCTGTTTTTACTGGCAGAGGGCTGCAGGAGGCTGTTGTGGCTGAAAACAGAGCCCAGGTGAGCTGAGTGACATCAGGCTGGCCACTCCCCCTGGCCACTCCCCCCTGGTCCCCTGAGGTAAAACACAACCCTGATGTGGCCCTCAATGAAATTGAGTTTGACACCCCTGCTTTAAACCAACCAACCAACCAACCCACAAACTCCCTTTAAAGTAGAGTTGTGAAAAGCTGCACAGTATTTCTGGCATAGCGCTTCATAGAAGTCACTAGACGTCTTCGAACAAATCACTTCCTCTCAACCCAACCTTCACTTCGACATTTTTTTCCCCTTTACGTTTTATTGTAACGCCTTTGCTTATTGTGAGTCGTTGAGAGTCAGGTGACATAAATGCATAAATAAATAAATCTAGAAGGACCAAATATCACAGATGGATTCATCCGAACTTGTGCGCTAAAATCAATCGATTTCTTTCCGGTAATGCTGGACAGAAAATCGTGGTTCTCCAAAGATTCAACAAATGAACAGATTAACGGAGTTGCAGGCAGGGATGAAATCTACTTACCTTCCTTACTGGTTCGGAAGCATGCACGCATGTCATATGCATGCACAGACCTTCTGCACATGCGTAAAACCTTCTGAGCATGTGCAGAAGGTAAAAATCATATTACTTCCTGGTTAAAACCAGGAAGTAATGACACCCAGGCGGGTGGTTGGAGCTTCACTCCACCATCGCTACCGGATTGCCGAACCAACAGCGAAGATTGGCTACCAGACTGAGCGATCTGGTCCGATCCGGGAGCATTTCACTCCTCCTTGTGGGTTATCTAGTCCAACCCCCACCCACCCAAGCAGGAGAATTTACACCATTTCTGACAAATGGCAGTCCAGTCTCTTCTCGAAAGCTTGCAGCGATGAAAATTTGGATTGCTGGATTCAGAGTCCAGAGGGCTAACCGTTCCACTTGTTGAATCAGGACTTCAGTTGCCACAACTATCTTGGGAGTTGTTGCTTAGCAGCCTTTGAGGGTCCCAGCTCCCCACCTTTCTGTTGTGGCTCCGTTGCCTGAGCCTGGGCTATCGACAGATGCAGACTCTGAGAGTGAGGGAGAGGAGTTGGCAAGGCCTCCCTCTCCAGGACCCTCCTCTCTGGCAATGCCTCCGGAGGACACCGAAGGCCAAACGATAGGCTCAGAGCCAAGCATGTCCCCGCAGCCACAGGTGGACAGCGACGAAGAAGATAAGTGCTGGCTGGATCCTCGGCAGAGGCACAGGGAGAAGCATGCACAGCAGAGGGGAAGGAGTGCCAGAGATTAGCTGAGTCACTGGACCACACCCCACAGGGTATAAATGTGGGTGTGGTGGCCGGTTCAGTTTGTGACGAGCAAAAACTGGAAATAATCCATGATCTCTGCGTTACTGGACTTTGCCTGCTTTATCAGACTGCATTTGGATTAATCCTTGTATTGTTGAAACTCTGCCTGTTTTATCGGAATGCTTGCAGTCTAATCTTTGTTTTGTGTGAGTAAAGTCTGAATTGGCAGCTAGCCACTGGGTTGCTGCCAGCTTTATCTTCAAAGAGTTTTGTCGTGTGGCTTATTAACTCCGGGCTGTCTGTGGGGGTGCGTGTGGGGTACGGGGACAGAACACCTTCACACTTGTGGTTTCGTCTCGCTAAAGGTAGAAAAATTTAATCCATGATATTCTAAGACTCCTGTGTTTTGCTTGGGAGAACAGCATGGAGTGCTGAAACTATGAGTGGGGATGAGTCACAAAAGTGAGGTATTTCCATATTCCTGCCTACGTGAAACTTCCAGCAGAGCCAATCCCAACGGGCTCTTATTGGCTTTTATTGGAGAGGACTGAGCAGTCTCGGAAAAAATGCTCTTTGCTGCACCAGTAAGTAGCTAAAAAGGGAACTAATTCCAGAGAAGGTTTATGTACTTCTCTGCCACCCAGCAAGGCCGGGTTTCTATTTCATGACCTCAGGGCTGTGGAATCCTTCTCTTCCCATTTATAAACGCAATACCTCCGAAGGGCAAAAGGGTTTTAAATGCTTATTATAGAATAACTGGAAATCAAAGTTTTCAACGGAAATTGGATTTCACCCAATCCACGGTTTCTCCGTGCCGGCATGCAATCAACAGAAAAGATGAAGCTTAAAAAAATATATGGGAATTTTGAAAAATATATTCAATAAAAATCGGGGATGCCTGGACATCATAGTAAAAAGTACTAAATTGAAAATGAATACAGCAATAGAGAGAGATGGAAGAAGGTGTGGGGAGATGGAAGGAAGGGAGAAGGAGAGAGAGGAATAGAAGAAAGGGAAGAAGAGAGGAAGAAAGGGAGGGGAAATAAGAGTAGGAGAGAAGGTAGCTAGGGAGAAAGAAAGGAGGAGGGGGAGAAAGGAAGGGGAAGTAGAGAAGGAGTAGAGCTTCTGCGCGAGCTGCACTGGCTCCCGGTGGTCTTCTGGGTGCGCTTCAAGGTTTTGGTTACCACCTTTAGAGTGCTCCATGGCTTAGGACCTGGTTACCTACGAGACCCCCTACTACCACCAATAGCCTCCCACCGGCCGGTACGCTCTCATAGAGAGGGGCTCCTCCGGGTGCCGTCGGCCAAACAATGTTGCTTGGCAGCACCTAGGGGGAGAGACTTCTCTGTGGGGGCACCTACTATCTGGAATGAGCTACCCCCGGAGATACGGAGGATCCCGGATTGCGCACCTTCCGCCGCGCTCTCAATACTTTTTTATTCCATCAGGCGGGCCTGGCCTAATCTTTTCCTTCTTTTTTAATTATGTAAATTTTAATCAGTTTTTAAATGATTGGGGTGTTTTAATCTGTCTGGGCCAAATTGTCTAATTCGATTTTATTCTGTTTTTAAATTTTGTATTTATGTATTTTTACTGTTTTGGCTGTTCACCGCCCTGAGTCCTCCGGGAGTAGGGCAGTATATAAATCAAATAAAGATAAAGATAAAGAAGATAAAGGAGTAGGAGAGGAGGGAAGAAGAAGGTAGGAAGGATAAAAGAAGGGAGGGAGGGAGAGGAAAGAGAGGAGAAAGAGAAGAAAGATTGCTGCAAAACAAAAAAAAAATGAAATGGAAGAAAGGCAATCCTGAACATATTTAAATGTATTAAGATAAAGAATGAATTATCAAAGAATTAAAAGAAAATACATCTAATTAAAAATGGAGAAATTAGAACTGGAGGGCAAAAGAAAAAAAGAATGTTGTTTATATAAACAAGCATAGAAATATTAAGATATGATTAAAAAATAAGGAAAAAGAATACTTTGGCAGAAATTGTGAGTAAGTAAAATGTATTTGGATATGACAAGTTGTATAAGATGATATGATATGGCCAATACTTGGTTTCATAAAATATGTGGGTGGGTGTGAAGGAAAAAAAAAAACCACTAATAAAACTTGATTCAAAGAGATGAAGCTTGCGCTAAGCTTTCAACGCTGATTTTTGGAGCCAACAAGCGTCATTTAAACGAGACAACAAATGTGTAGATGAAATACAACACATTTTCCATTTCAAAGCAATACTGGCTTGCCATGATTATAGCCTAAAACATTAAAAAGATATTAACAGTGTGGAGAGAAATGAATGAATACAATAAGAAATTGTATTCCTTTCTGATTTGGATCTTATATAGCTTGGATAGCTCATATACTGCTAGTCCTCGACTTACAACAATTCATTTAGTGACTGTAACACCGGTGCTGAAAAAAGTGACTCGTGACCGCTTTTCACACTTATGACCGTTGCAGCATCCCCCTGGTCATGTGATCAAAATTCAGATGTTCGGCAACCGGTTCATACTTATGACGGTTGCAGCGTCCCAGGGCCATGCGATCCCCCTTTTACGACCTTCTGACAACCAAAGTCAATGGGGAAGCCAGATTCACTTAACAACTGTGTTACTAACAACTGCAATGATTCACTTAACAACGGTGGCAAGAAAAGTTGTTAAATGGGGCAAAACTCGCCGAACCAATGTTTCACTTAGCAACAGAAATTTTGGGCTCAGCTGTTGTTGTAAGTTGAGGACTACCTGTATTTTAGAGATTAATGGATGAGAAGATGACAGACTGAAGTAATGTTGCGGTCAGGAAATGGACAAAACAACATATAGACTTGAAACCAGAGATGTTTTTGTTGGGCATTCTACCTGTTCTGTCCCAGCTACGGACCCCAAAGAACGCAGCACACACTAACTCTATACAAAGCTTATTTTACTCAAATAACTTAGTCTTTATCATTCAAAGGCTGTTAATGAACTGTCTTAACAGCCTACCAGAATTCTAAGATAAGGTAATCACAGTCTTACTAGAGTTGGCAGAAAGCCCAGAAGCAATTTTGCAGACACGAAAGAGAGTGAACTAAAGTTGTTCTCTACAGCTTGTTGCAAGTGGTGTTCCTTCTTAAATAGGCTAAGGGAATGGCCAATTAGCCCCAAGCCTTACTCTTGAGGAGACCTCTTCCTGAGGAGCCACTCCTGCCTTTTGGGCGCTCTGCGTGCCTGTGCATTGAGAAGAGGCTCCTCCTCTTTGTCCTCTTCACTTAAAGGAGCTTCTGGAGGTTTTGAAGGCCCTGGCTGAATCCCTGCCTCTGGCACCACATCTTCTC